ACAAAACAGTTCTTAGAAAACGTGGTCTCGTGGAGTCAGGCGCTCGGAATGAACTTCTCCCCCGCGCGGACGGCTCGCGAGGCTCGGCCAGCCTGGTCCAGAACCACGGCCCGCATCGTCCTGCCTCCTCCAGGCTCCGTCTGCTCGGAAGAGGGAAAAGACCTACTGGTTTGTTTTCGTGGGGGCTGAAACCCCCCACAATCAACACAATCAACATCGTCACGGGAGGACGCACGGGATGTTTAAGGACTGGACACACGGCTGAGCACATTTAGGCCAAATGAAACGATTTTGATCCTTCTCCTGAACCACTAAAAAATAGGGTGTGACCGAAACACGCAAAGCCAGTGTTTCCCGAGCGCTTATGATGGACCGGCATGTTGCTCATGGAAGGGGTAATAATGGTGTGATTATCTCGAGGCTGGAGATGAGGGCTCTGAGGCTCAGAGAGGCTGAGACGCCTGTGTGGGTCTCTCAGCTTGTACTTGGCTGCGCTCAGTTTCTCGGACGCCAGAGCCGGCCACTGCCCCTCTGCACCAAACAAGACACAGGTTCCCACACCCCGTGCCCTGGAAAGCTTTGTCCCGAGAATCTCTCCAGGGGTCCTTCAGATGTGCGTGTGCCACGACCTTACCACGCAGAGGCCGAATGAGCTTGGTTTCCCTTTGACATGGACTAAACAAACAGCTTGCATCAGGGGCACAGGAAAACGCTCACGGCGATAGACACAAATGCTTTATGTTTGGAAAGATTTTAAAACGTGCTTTTCCTTATAAGCGACACATAGGCTAATTACCGATCTTTGGCTATCAACCCAAGCGTGACCCCCCCTTCTTTCAGAGCCTAATTCTAAGAATTATAGGCCAGGAATAAAAGTCTCACTTTACTGAAAAACCATCCGTCTTTCAGGGGCGCCCGGGTGGCTCAGTCGGTTAAGCATCCGACTCTTGATTTTGGCTCAGGTCGTGATCTCACGGTTCGTGAGTTCGAGCCCTGCATCGGGCTCCATGCTGGCAGCGTTGAGCCTGCTTGGGAGTCTCTGTCTCCCTCTCTCTCTGCCCTGCCCCTGCTTGTGCGCACGCCCTCTCTCACTTTCAAAATAAATGAAAAACGTTCCAAAAACTTGAAAAAACCCATCTGTCTTTCAGATTTCTGCCCCCACCTTCTTTCCTTCCCCCTCCCAGAGATTTTCAGTGCCGCCCCGTTTTAGGCTGAGTTACCATGTGCATCGAGATGTCAGTTCAGAATAGCACCCTCTTCTCTGTTTCTCACATCTCTGCTTTTCTCTCTCGACGACGACGACGTGTCAGTGCCCCCCGCCGTCAAGCTCTCCGTCTCCCTCTGTAACCGGGACAGGTATACAGAAGGCAACGATCAGGTCCCAGGAGACCATGAGGACCTGACTGCTAAAGTGCTTCCTGTTGACTGAGACGCTAAGGTGTGTAACTGAGGCAGAGGTCCTCGGCCGCGGTGTGCCGAAACACAACGCGGGTGCACGTCGCAGACACGGCTCTGCGAGCGAGCCACCTCCCTAGCTGTGGGAGGCCTCCCTTTCTCGGCCAGCGTCCGGAGCTTGGACAATGCACTCACGGTGTCTGCCGAGCCGGGTGGCCTGGTGGAAGGGAGCACGGAGTCCGTCCACCCTTTCTCTTCTGGGGGG